TCTTCTCCCAAGTCACCTATATGTGGGGAAAAAAAAAAGATATGTCAGATTCACAAAAAATGTTGTGTATTAGAGGTAACTCCATGATTTTTGCAAAAGCAATCAAAGGGCCAATGGTAGTGTCAGATGTCAGCATCAGCAAAAGCAAAAATGTCAAACACCCATCAAAGACCGTTGCTCGAAGAAGAAACATCAGCTGGTTACAGAGAAGCATTACAAACCAACTGGATTATAACATAAGCAAGCTTGCAGTTCTGCCCTCTACCACCTCCAGATTCTGTCGCTTTCAGCAGAAAGGCTGACACATCTGCAGTCGGATGCAAAGGTAACACAGGGAATTGTTAAGTACTCTTAGGAGTAGATTCTTTGAAGGAACACAAGGTGTTCCATGCAAACTATTGCATTTAACAACACAGCAACAGAGATGTATACAGAACTGAGCACTGGCAGTGTGCCTCTACCTTCAGGAATACCACTCAGGCTATACCACGCCTGCCTTTAGCTCCTCCCGCAAAAGACTCAGCAGCTATGGAGCTAATGGATATGTAAAATAAGGAAAAATTATCAAGATTCACAACCCATGCTGCATTCCCCTCTACTGTTCATTGCATTAAGATCACAGGGAGGCTGCAGGACAAGTCCCTGTCATACTATCATGAGTTGTGCCCTTCCTGCCACTGGTATTATTTGTTCACAGGTTCCACATGAGGGGAACAATATGCTGTCTCCACATTAAGTTTTCCCTTTTGTTTTTGAAAAAAAAAAAAAAAAAAAAGATAGGAAAGGACATGATAAACAGCTTCCCTTCAGCAGTAAATGCTAGTGATGAGAACAACGCTAAACAGCAGCAATACCTCTTCTGAAACTACAAGCCTGAACTTAGAAAAGAAAGTCAGTTTTCTTTTTTTTCTTTTAAGTCATTTACCACAACACTTATGATGCAAGTTCCTTTTGTGGAACCACTGATCTTACATAAAAGAAAATAGTATGTCATCGTCCATCATATTAAAATTTAAAAAAAAAAAAAATCACTTCAAGGTATTTCTTCACTATCCAGGGCTACTAGCTCTTTTTTGAGAAGTTCAGTATAACCTGAGACAAACCTTAAGCTCTTAATGCTATAGAGTGGAATCACTACATCTGTGTAGATCTATACACATATAAAATTATTAAAACTTGCTGTACATCTCTGTCATGGCACTGTCTTTCAAACATCACAAATCTTCTACTTACATGTTTTCCAGCAATTCCTGAACACTGCAAATTGAGTTCTCTCACTTCACCCAGATCATAAAGAAAGAGTGGTTCTCACTGAAACTTCCTACTTCTAAGCTCCTGATTAGTGTACACGACAAAAAAAAAAAATTAAAAATATGCACTTTGTAGAAGCTATTGTGCCTTCATCTACAGAAACAAGCTGTGCTCAAAAACTGCTTAGCTCACATTATTTTCAAACCACCCACAAGCTCCACGGAATTTGATACAGCAGATATGCATAATACTTGCTGCACTTGAGACTACTATAGGAGATATGTCTGCTGAATCAGCCTTCAAAAGCCAGACTAATCATAAGCCGTGGGTAGCACAGAACTGTTCTCATGAGGGCACAACAAATTAAGTGTGCACAAGAAAGTCTGCTTCACTAATGGATCCAAGGTATAAGGCTTCGCAAATTCACCAGAAGATGATCCATGTAAGGACAGTGGAAGAACTTCGGGTAGGCAGTTAAGGCAAATCAACTGACAGCAGAATAATCTTCTCAGATGGGCAAGACACAGGGAGCAGCTGCTCCATCAACCACCCCACTGAACTCATTTCCCAGCAGTGGTTAGAGAAGCAGTTCTGCGAGTCAGAATTTTATAGGCATCAGCAGTAGAAGAAATCTGGCTGTTCCTCTTTCAATAGCAAAACAAGCAGAAGGAAAATGGTACACAGCTACCTTACTGAAATCAAGCATTTGAAGACCTGGATACTCCAGTATCCTTTCTGCCAATTTACCACAAACTACTTCACCCGTCTGTACAGAAGCCCAAATTTCAAATGACTTGGTATGGTGGGAAACGTCACAAAGTCAGAAAACCAGATTGTGTTCATTAACGAAGACCTTTCTGTAACTTCAGAGAATATTTCTGCCAACTCTTTTAGCATGCAGTCCAATACTGGTAACATCAGCTCTCATCTCTTAATATGCCAGTTATACTGTGTCTGAAGGCAAATATGTTTACCTTCACAGGAGTGCCCAGTTACTAGTCACTGTGATGAAACTATTTGCCATCATGCCAGTAAAGATGAATTTTATGTCACCTTCAGCCATGTAGAAGTAACGCATTTTAACAAGTGCATTAAAATTCAACCACTGGTTGAGGGTCAATCGCCCTATGGACACATCTCTCTTTTCTGAAGCTACTAAGGGAACCCAAACAGTTGTGTAGAGACTCCTGGTTAACATCTCCCAAGATGCATTTCACCTCAAGTAAATACAGTTCACCAAATTCAGCTGCCAGGAAAGCTCTCCAACACCACAAACATGTTTTGTCTCACAGGGTATGTTTTACATGCACAGTCAATCCCAATATAACACTTCCATAATGTTCTGGAGAAAACTGGAGACAGCTGCATGTGTGCTTATTGATGTGACATCATGCTGTAACAAAGAAATCAGGGTTCTATCTCCTTAATAATGTACTGATTCAATTGGTCCTAATGGAAATTAATCATTCAATACTTTGCAAAAGACATAAGCATCTTCTGATACAGACCAAATGAAAGCCATCACAGTTTTCTCTCCTCTGTCAGGCTGCTCCCGCTGCTCCCCAGTCCCACAGAATGCACTAGTGAGTTGCTCCAGTCAGGATGGCAGGTGAAGGCCTCATTCCATAGATGATACACGTATACCTACACAAGGAGTTTGCTCCCTCTCTGTCAGGCTTCTGCTGGAGACCTGGGACATTCTATTACTTCGCTGAGAAGGAAAATAAAATTAGATGTTATTCCAACAGAACACCATATTCCACCACTGTATTATTGGTAGGAACCATACAAGCTTTGTGGCCATCACAAAGAACCCACATACAACTGCCACAGGTCCTGTGTTAGGAACAGTACACAGCTGCATTGCTCCAGGGACAGATTGCTTAAGGTTCCAGTTGTTCCGTCCTCTAGACAAAAGAAACATCCATCAATATGAGGAGCAACACTAAAAACTCTTCCTTTATATTATCAGATGCCAGAGCTGGTGAGTCCATTTTTCTGAGTATCCATACTTGCTCAAGATGGCAGCATGACTTCTCTCCATTCTGCTTCTCTATTCTGTCATACACACATTTTTTCATGAAAGAAATCCTTTTATGTCTTCCCTCTCTGCTTGCAAAGAGCATGTTACAAGACTACTTTAATTTTTTGTCTCTTTACAGATACACTGAATAGATGGCTTCCCATCATGGCCCTGCATGTTTATTCTAGTAAATTATTCAACTTATTCTGTGTAGGGTAAATTAATTTCTACAGCAATTCAGCTGCTACTCCATCTACAGTATATATACTTGCTGAAACAGATTAACTCTGCCATGCAACGTCATCTTTCGTTTTCTTCAGCATCTGCACAGAACTTTTATTCAGATAAACCTATTCTTCTCCCCTTGACTCTCCCTCTCCCATTCCCTGCCACGACTGATGTTTCTTGGACATAATACAGTGCTTATTCTTGGGAGTAAAAAAAAAAAATTCCAAAAAGTTGATAAATTCTGTGAATCTAAAAACCATTTTACATTTTCCAAATGCTCTCCACTTGATTTGCTCATACCTAATTTTCACAGATATTCATTATTTAACTTCCAAATACATGGGTTGCAATACATCAAATCCTAAAAAAGAAGGGATTTGAATGGAACTATTCTACAAGCAGGAAATGAAAAATGAGGTCCAATCTGCAACACTCTATCACTGTCATTTAGTGGGATCTACTTATTTGTACATGGAACCAACTGCTTAGCTGCTTGCACTGACCTCCTGAGTGGTAAACAAAGTTACCCAAATGTCACCAGATTATCTGCTGTCTAACACACAACCATATTTTCACCCTTTTGTAATATGAGAATCTCCCAAAATGAACTTGGTTCTTTGCGTAACACTACATTGTAAGGTTCGCGATGCAGAGTTTACCTGATATTAACACGAACAAAATTGAGATTTTTGTACCTAATTGGGGGAAGCGGGGCAGGGGGGGAAGATGATGCTGCTGACAGGGTTTTTTTGTGTACTATCAGATTACTAGATTGGGATTGCAGGTTTTTTGTTTACGGAAATCTGAAATGGAATCAAATATATTAAATACCTTACCTTGTTACTTGTTTGTATACAAAAACTTTTGGAAAAGTCAGAATGGTTTTATGTTTTGCACACAGTTTATGACCTGAGGTGACCTCCTGGTGCCTGTTTTAATAGAGACTGCTCTTTTGGGAGCCAGAGAGCATTTCCTCAGTACACAACTATTGACATATATGACACCTTCTGTAAAGTTTGACACATTGTTTTAGAACAAGATAGAAGTATAAGTTCAAGTAAAAAACGGGTACACTATACTAAAATCACAATGTTTGAGGAATGCTCTGCTTCAATCCTCTAAAGCTAAAGTATGTTGTATAACCACAAAAAAATTATTAGTACAGTGTCGTGGGTTGACCCTGGCAGTATTCTAGGCACTCACTAAAATCACTAAGAGCTGGGAGAAGTCACACAGGCAAAACAAAACTCAACATGAGGATAGTGCTAAAATTTATTACTAACAGGATAAGAGCTAAAGAGGGAGAAATAAAACAGTCTTAAACACACTTTCCAACCACCCCTCCTTCCTTCCATGTTCTCCCTCCTCCCCCTGCATCAGTGCAGGAAAAGAAGTCCAATCATAGGGCAACAGGTCTTCCAAGTCTGCTGTCCTGTGGGTCACCCTTCCACGGACTGCAGGGGGACAGCCTGCTTCACCACAGTCTAAAAGTATCCCTTGGCCCGTAGGAGGATCAAACCCACAACCTTGGTGTTATTAGCACCACACTCTAACCAACTGAGCTAACCAGCCACTCCAGATTCAAGGATCTGATCCCGACTCCGTTTCAATCGGCTAAGGGCGGCAGAGGCCATCGCCTGCCCTTTTGGAACGGCGCTCGCCTATCGCTTAGGCAATTGACCCATGTTCAACTGCTGTTCACATGGAACCCTGCTCCACTTCGGCCTTCAAAGCGCTTGTTTGAATATTTGCTACTACCGCCACCCGCGGCGGCTCCACACAGGCCTGTGCCCCAGGCTCTGAGGCTCACTGCAGCGACCCTCCTACTCATCACGGCCTAGCCCCCGCAGGCTTCGCACTGCCAGCAACAGCCAGGTGTGAGTCCAACGCTCCAGCACCATCCTTTTTCAGGGCTAGTTGATTCAGCAGGTGAGTCGTTACACACTCCTTAGCAGAGTCACTGAAGTAATACTTCTCTAAGAGTACAGAGACCTCAAACTGTTATTTCACCTGTTGTCCTGTGACACCTCTCCAATTCTACTTGCCTTACTGAGGTGTTCATTATATTGATACAAGTCTTAGTTGTACCACTGGTACAGGTAGGTGCTGACTTAAGTCTCAGGGCTGTCAGAAGTCTCCTTATTATGTGTCTTTCCTAAAAGCTTGAGCAGTCTGACACATTCCCCAAGTAACCCCCCCTACGCCAAAGAGAAAACAACTGCTGTAAGCAGCACCAGGTCCTCAAGAGCACAGGTCTCTGGCCTGTCTGTTTGCAGAGCAGGACCAGTACATTAGTAAATACAGAGATCAGAGATCAACGTTTCAATGTCTCCTTGCACCTCCCCACCTGCCTGCACTCGCCTATCATATCTTCTATTATATTGGCAGGGTAAGCTCTGTCAGGCAGGTACTGTCTTTCATTTGGCATTCGTGTGTGGCCTGTTTTAAGAGGGTGCCCACATATGACTGGGTCTGCTACTTAAGAAAGCAATACCACTAAGCAGAGCTTGTTCTTCCCTGAAGGAGAAGACACTTTCTGCATTCTCCTATTTGAGTTTCCATCCCTGATGGAAAAAAACAGCTCTCATTTATCCTTTAGCTATCAACACCTCAAATCCTCTGTATGTTTCCTTTCCCTTCCTTTTTATGCCCTTCTATATACCATCTGAGTGCCTAATACAAACCAGTACTATATGCTCTCCTAATTTGCTCTAGGTTACATATCTGAAGGTGTTTGAAATGCAATAGTGCAGGCATTGTGTAAAGTATACATCGGTATTTTCCAAACAACAACGTAATTCACTGGTTTTCATATTTTTAATACATTTTTCTCCACAGGTACAGCAGGACTCTCTCTCCCAGCGGGAAAATCAGTCCTGCTGTTGGACACCAACAGCAGTTCCAGCATCTAACACTAATAGCATTATCAATTTATGACTTTAGAAGCACTACCAGAATCTAGTAGTAGTGTCTCTTACATTAGAGATGGCCCATTTCTCCATTTTTTTTTACATGGCTCTTCATGTCTTTTGTTACATCCTTACTAGTGTTTCATGAGAGCACTTATCTTCTCTCACTTAACAAAGCTTTCAAAAGATTCTATTCAGCTACAATTCCCACAGTAAACAAGCTGAAACCAACACAAAAAGCCTATTGTCTGCTCTTCCCCCACCATCTCCCACGAAGATATGCAGTCACCTCTCCCCTGAATAAGGGGTCTCAACCAAGTAAGTCATGGTAACCTGCACTCTCCACCTCAGAGTACACAGCTCTGTAGGGTACTACATAAATCATGCACATACCACTCACACTACAAGGTCCTCTGGGCCACTCTTCCTTCCTGAACTCTGACATGCCAAGGGAGGATAAAAAGAGAGATTATGATGGCTATGAAAAAATTAAAGGCTTCATATCCCAAAACAACTCCATCAGAAACAGCACAAGTGATAAACACACTGAGCTTGTCTGCATCGTAAGACAAGAGATGGAGTACAGTGATGAAAACAGCACCTCTGCTGCAGCCTCAATGGCCTGCAGCCACAGCTGCTGCCACTCCCCCACAGCAACACACCAGTAATAAAATATCCAGGTAGAGGAGGAAGATAAGAGAGATGGAAGCACCCTCCTTTTGGGTGAGAAGGCAAAAGGACCTTTAAAATACTGACAGCTAGGCAAAAAAAATGCATTTGCTATGGGACCACATCTTGTAACACGGTTTCACACCACCGCGAGCATCCTTACGTCATTCCTCTTGCATCCTTACACAAGAAGCCACAGCCATCAGGCTGAGCCGGGTAACTTCCAGTCTCAACAGATACTCCAACCAATAAGGGACAGATTTTGATACAGAGTCTGGAAACCTTAAAAATAAATTGCAGCATTTCATTGAAACAGCTCCACAACACACCGACAAGTGAAGGAACTCTAATTCCCGTACAGGCAGTGGGTAGGTCCTCAGCAGAAGTCAGCCATCTCTGCCTACATTAACTGTACTCTGGTCAAATCACTAAATTACAACCTATTTAATAGTTCTGCTAGCTTAAAACAAACTATTTTACTTTTTAACCCTCTAACAATTTTGGCCTTTATTTTAAAATCTGTTACTAAATGAGAAACATTGTAACTATTCCTAATTTTACTCCAAATATTTAAAATTACTGCTCTCCTTAACAGCAATATTTAGTACAGCAAAAGGGAAAAACTATAAAAACAGTTACAAAAAGAAGTACATATATTCTGTAGACTGGCCAACAGATTTAACTCAGTTATGTTTTATGACTGCTTTTACTTCAAGATTTGTGTATATAAGTGGAAATTACTGATGAAAGAATTGCATTTATGTTGCACTGAAGTGAAAGTCATGCTGTGATAAAAATGTGTGTTTATTTATACATCAGAGAAGTAGAATAATAGGCTATTACATTGGCAATGTTGGATTTATGTTTTAAATTAGATTTATGATTTTCTTATTTATTAATTTACTTGTTTTAGGTTTTTTAATACCAGTCCTTGACTTAAAAGAGATTATATTAGTAAGTACAGTTCCTAGAAAAATAAGGGTCTAGATCTCACTAATGTGCTTTAGAGACATCAAATTTACTAAACTAAGGGGTCTTGCAAGTGTGTTTTAAATAATTTTGGTTTCATTTTTAATTTCTACAGGAAAACGGTACCAACCTTTAGACACTTTAAAGAAGCCTAGACTTTCTGAAAGTACTACATCGCTACCCACTGCAAATCAGGCCCTTCTGTGAATCTCAAGGCAGGGTGGAAGCATAATAAAAGCACCAAAATAGAGAGACATTTTGAAAATGCTGTCTACCATTTTAGAGGTGCAGAGCGAAGAAACGTAATTAGGGATTAGCTCAGTTGGTTAGAGCATGGTGCTAATAACGCCGAGGTTGTGGGTTTGATCCCTGTACAGGGCATTCACTTAGGAGTTGGACTTGATTCTTGTGGGTCCCTTCCAAGTCAGAATATTCTGTGATCTGTGTTTCTGTCATATAGTGTTCTTGAGGTCCACGATAAAAATACTGTCCTGCTTTCTTATGTGCAGAGAATTTGCTGACAGAGAAATGCATCTGGTTTTTAAATGATGAAAATGTCTTAAACATATTCCTGTCACTGAAAATCACTTCTTGCAGGAGCCATTGTCAAAATCTACCCACATGTCAAGTGCTGGAAGTAGTAAGGCAGGGGGGAAGAACATAAAAGAAATATTTGTTATTCTAGAAATAACAAATGGAAATATTTTAAGTCTTTTAAACTGAAACACTTTTACTCCTGTTAATCCAACATGTTCACTTTATAAACAAGACAGAAAACTGAAAAATAGGGAAGCATGAGATTTTTGGAATTAAAAATTAATTGTAAGATTAGCATCAGAAGAAAAATCATCTGCCAGACTAATCAGAAAATACTACATCTCTCCACAATATTTCATATAAACACCTGGGTCTGCCCCAAAAAGTCAGTGTAGAAGTATGAAAATGTGTATGGAAAAAGTGGACAGACATAAAGCAATTGAAGCTGGGAATATCAGCACCTCATATTGATGATATAATAAAGCAACAGAGAAGGTAGGCAGAGCAAGGTTAAATTATGAAGGTGCAAACATGCATCTCAGGTCAAAGTTTGAGTAAAAGTGGGTAAAGGACTTGGTTTTTTCTTTGTTCAGTTTTAACTATAAGGGGGGGGTCCTCAGTTGTAAAGTTTATTTTGTAACACTTCAGGTAGGTTTGTGCAGAAGAAAACGAGCAATCCTGAGAAGAAAATATGACAGAACTAAAGCAAGTCCATGATTTACCAAGGGCAGAGAACATATCAACTTTTACGATTTAGTGAGTCTCATGATGTTAGAGCCTGCCCTGATCCAGAAGCCAAGAAATTATGTGACTTGTCTTTTCTTATTTCCATTTCTAACATTCCTAATCTCATAGAAAATTGAAAAAGCAAACCCAACAGTTCAAAATCTTGAAAGCAAATAAAAAAAGTCTTCAAAAATCTTTAGAGGCATCATGATTTTAAACAAGTCTATTTTAAACCTCTGGCACAGATTTATTAAAAGCCAACCATGGTTCTATCGGCTTTCTGAATGAATCATGGCTATTCATGAAGACACTGAAAGCTGTTTTGAGTAACAGGAAAAAGAGCCAACAGTGAGGGAGACACAAAAGACCCAACCACCAATGAATCATTTGAAGGTATCCCCAATGCACATAATTACCATCCCCATTAAGCAACAGTCATTGCAATTAAGTATTGTTTGGTTTAAATCAGTTACCTGGAATGTCTTCTGATCAGGCCTGTTCCAATTAAGTGGCACTTACTTATTACCCTAATCATGCACTATCAGTTCAAAGCAGCACAGTACAGCTTCACCTTGAAAGCAATCAGCCTAACATTTGGCAACCAAAAGCAACAGCCCTTGAGTTTCCAAATAACAGAAAACTTACATGTAAGTATAAAGCATCATTACACTGGTTTCTCTCATTTGCTTTTATTTCTGCAATTCTCCTCACTTAATTCTTAAAGCTGCTACCAGTTGAAGAAGACCTCTTTAAAAACGAAAG